TTCCTTGAAATGGAAAATTACAACGACGGCAGAACCGAAAATATCGGTTTTAGACATTAAACACAATCCCGTAAGTAATCCGAAACTGCGCCAACATAGCGATCTCCAACCTCGGGGACACGCGCGGATTCGACGAGCCCGGACTGTACGTCTTGCAACTGAAAAACAACATTTACAAACGTGTCAAACTGACGTGCTCCACTGCCAGTGACCTATGTGATTTCGACTATACCGAATGATCAGTCAACAAGACGAAATATGACCTCGTCCGCAATGAAAATGACAAATGGACGATATCAAGAGCCTTTGGCGGCAAGCTGTTCCACCTGAACGACCTCGAAGCCACGGTCGTCACTCCAACACGCCTTACACTTTCGTATTCAACGACGACGACAAACAACATACTCAAAGTGAACTTGGATTATCCTGCAGAACTACACGAATCGCACAACAGCTATCTGCTAGCTCCCGAACGATTAATGGTGAACAAGGACTGGATGTCTGAATATCAACGAAACTTGCTGAGAAAAAATAAGCTGTCTTACTTCGAAAAACTCGTACCAAACTTGATGAACAAGAAAAATACATCGTTCACTACCGTAACCTGCAGCTGTACTTGTCACTGGGAATGAAACTCACGAGAATTCACAGGGCGCTCGAGTTCGATCAAAGTCCTTGGATGGAGCCTTACTTCAGAATGAACAAGGATTTACAAAAGCTGGCCACCAGCGATTTTGAGAAAACCTTGTACAAACTCATGAACAACTCGGTGTTTTGCAAGACGATGAATAATTTGAGCAAACGAGTTAGCGTGAAACTAGTCTGATCAAGCGAGGAAGAAAAACTCAGGAAATGGATAGCCAGCCCGGCATTCAACAGAAGTAAAATATTAAATGAAGATTTGATGGCGCTGCACATGAATTAAAGTCACATCAAATTCAACCGGCCTGTTTACATGGGGATAAGCATCCTTTACTTATCCCAACACTTGATGTAGGACTTTTACTACAACAAGTTGAAGAAGTAGTATGGTGACAAGTGCGAAGTGCTGTACACAGACACGGATTCACTGCTGATGGAGATTCGCACAGAGGACGTGCACGAGGACATGAAGAAAAACATGCACCTGTACGACACCAGTGACTACCCCAAAGACCATCCTTTGCACAACACCGTCAACAAAAAAAGTGCTCAGCAAGATGAAGGACGAATGCACGGGCAAGCTGATCACCAAGTACATCGGCTTGAGACCCAAGATGTATTCCATCAAGAAAGCAGAAGACAACGAAATCAGAAAGGCGAAAGAAGTAAAAAAAACATGTAGTCAAGAAACACATCAAGCACGCTAGATTCAAGTATTAAAGGCTCACTTGAACACACACACACACACACACACACACACACCCTCATCAATATTTATGAAGGTGGGTTTGCCTATATTTATACTGTGTGCAAACGAGGTTCATAAGATTACAGATGTGCATGCATGCATAAAGATTACAGAGAGGGGACGTGACTCCATAAAGCAATTTGTCCAATGATATTACAGCTCATCTGTTTATTTCACACTTGTCACGGGACAAACCTTTCAACAAGGGTGTAACTACATATGCATTCTACCGGAGGCTGTTATGTCAAGGTCGAAAGAGGTGTTTAATTATCTCATTACTGTAATCTGATTGAATGATTACACGCATGTGTATCGATACCGTAACTGTTATACTATCCAGCTTTTATTGACGATGGATCAACACAGACTGAGTTCACTGATAAACGTGATAATTACACCGGATTTGATAATTACAGAAATCAAATACAGTGCTCATGTAAATTGCACAGAAAACTGACAATTCAAATCAACATGAAATTTCAACAGATTGAACAAAAATGCCTGAAATACCTTTGTATGGTTTACATGTAATAATTTATGATATTTACTTCTGTCTATGTGTGAGATGTTTTTGAATTACCAACATACTGTGTTTTGTAACAAACGTTAGCAAAATATTTCATTGTTGTAATAACACTGACATGAATAAAAGCACCAAGCTGTTGATTTGAATTTGTCGATGCAAAGGCGCGACGTATCACTTTATATTCGATTAGGTAATATTGTCAACTTTAGATTATGGACAATAACTAATTACAATTCAGTAAGCTTCAAAGTACTAAGTTAAATTATGTCTAATCTATTCGAGATTGGATGTATAATTATTTGTGTTTATACATTATGTTTCATTAAATGAAACATGACAACGTAATAATACCTGAAAAGTAAATTCCAACTATTCTATTGTGTTTGAATTCTTTGAATGTCCTTGAAATTTCGTATATTGTCACCTATTTACTAGGAAGTTGAAAATATAATCTTCAGTAACCTCTAAACCATTACATCTAATTCAATCAATGTGCAAAAGAAGTTTTTTAGTATCCATTCCCAATGAAGAGTACCAGACACTTACCTCTTTAAAAACATCATAATCCCCTTTCTTGCCGACATGTGTTCATTTGCCAAACGCTGTAAAAGCCTATGATGGTGATTAGCAATTGCTATCAAAACACTTTAAATACTTCTTCAGATTGACACTAAAGGTAGCATCTCTCGTAAGAAACGCTAATATTTGCTCATCCCTACTAAATTGGTTGAAATCATAGGTACAGTGCGATTCTTAAAAGTTCGACACACATGCTTGTCTCTCCGTGAATAAGAGGTGCTTTCTGTTAACGATAAGTCCTTGGTTTCATGTTTAGCGAAATATCTCTACCAATCGTTAGGCTTCATTGTACTTTTTGTTTGCAGCTAGAAATATTGAACTTTTGTTTCAGTCAGTTGTAGGTTGGGAAAGAGGAGCACCACAAAGATCATGAATCCAGTAAATCATATATACAGTACATAAGACTAAGTATACACCCTGTGCCCTGATATTACATCTAGCGCTAATCATTACATTGTCTTTAACGTAGTTAACTATACACTTCATTACACACATACCATGAATTCCAGTCTGCAACCCTGGGCAGTATGGAGCAGGATGTAGCAAGGCCTGCAGCGAGCGTCACTGTAAGACGCCATCTGGCAGATGTCATCACGTGACTGGAACGTGTCCCGACGGCTGTAGCAATGGTTTCACTGGAGATGCCTGTTTACAAAGTATGTTTCGTTTTTACTGATGATGTGCTGAGTTCGTGCAGTTCATGACTGCCGCGTCGTGTTTCTATAGAAACTCAGTTGTACTCTTAGTCAATTATAACCTGATATAAGGATGTTACATCAACATATTCCCCTGAAAGTGTGAAGGTTTGTGTTGGGATTAATCGTACCTATTCTATACTTCCGAAGCTACAGATATTAAACAGTTATTGTCGATTTACAGAAATGTGGTTGAATGAATTGAAATCTATTTGAGCGGCGTATGTCCAATGCACCGGGCACATAGTGTTTACATGCTCCGTGATATCGTTACATGAAATGCCAAAGTTATGGCACTTTTCAAGTATATTTAAATATATATTAGGTTCAGCATTATAACATTTTCAAAGGAACTCTTTGGAAATGACATTTTCAGTGTATGTGATTGATTGTACAATGTTATTTGGATAAAAGTAAATTAGTTGCTTATGAGTGTTCATAGAGACTCTATGTTTAATGATGTACACGCATGTTTTGTGAGTCCTGATTTAGATATAATTTAATTTGATAAAACCCTTGTATAGTTAAGCTCCTATGGTTTGTGTTTCAAAATAGTGATCTTCTGCATCAGATCACGGATGTCTGGTTTAATGGTAGCTTTGTAATCAGAGTTCGGAATGAGAAGTGGTGTCACACACTGGAAAAAAGTCCACATTTACAAGCTTGGAAATGTCCTGGAAAGATGATGTTTCACAGAAATGTCCAATTTTGGAGGGACGGTGGGGCAGCCTAATGGTTAAAGCGTTGGCTCGTCACGCCGAAAACCCAGGTTCGATTCCCCACATGGGCACATTGTGTGAAGCCCATTTCTGGTGTCCCCCGCCGTGATATTGCTGGAATATTGCTAAAAGCGGCGTAAAGCTAAACTCTGTCTCTGTCCAATTTTGGAAATATGACACTTCCAAAAATTTACAATGTTGGAAATGTTCACAAGGGGAGATAACTGGTGGGTGATGGTAAATGATTGTTCTTTGTACACACCAAGATCCAATCCCTTGTTAATTAATCAGTGAGTCAAGGCGGTTAAGATTCACCAATTAACAAGGCCTAGTTTTGCTTTATGAATTATGAATATTGTTTTATTCGTCTCCATTATTTGTATCAGAATTCAAGTGGTAAGGTAAAAACGTGAAACACATGTTAATGCCAATGAATTGTTCACATCAACAAATACAGTAACATATTGTTCAGGACACTAAATAGGATTACATTTTGGGCATTAATAATTCCAAAATGGTAATATCCACCTTAACATGTGGGGATCTTTACCTTTGACTTGAATGTTGTAACCCTGCTGAAATACTTTTGTACATGAGTCGTAAGATATAGTCTTTATAGGTCACGTGGCATCCATGATGTTGGTACGGATACTCAAGTCTGGAAATAGATCATAGATGCATTGAATAGTCTGTCTGAAACAGATTGCAGTTTTTCCTCTGCCATTGGTCCGACTATGCTTTTCCCGTGGTCCTTTAATTGGCAGAATTAATCCCCAGTTAGACAGGACACAATATAACAGACTCCGTTTGTGCAGTCGAGAACATCCCCTTTGCCCCTATTCATGAGTTCTCACATGCAGAACATGTATTTGCATCTCGGTCTTTTAATCCTCCTGTTGTGTTATTTATCTTTAGCAGTATACATGTTGTCATTGCCGCGTTCAAATAACTTGAATAATATATTTGTGCGTACACTGAGCTGTCTGTTTCTATTTTTAGGAATATTTCTTTCTAATGACGTTGGTTATTTTGTCTGCAAACGTGCAACGTTTAGTATTAATATTAACAGATTCACTTTCTGTATTTACTAGCATGTGCACCTGGGTACTATGGAGCCAACTGTGACTATTCCTGTGCTGCTCGTCACTGCAAGGTGGACTCCGTCTGTGACGCGATACATGGCGTGTGTGTCGGTGGATGTGCGGCTGGATATCGAGGAACAGACTGCAGGCAAGGTAATATTTTATCTTACCACACTAATTCCCCATATTAAAGGCTCACTTGTATATAAGATTCAACTAACGGTTGATGTTTGTCCTTGTATTTTTTTATTCCAGTTACTTAATTATGATGATTTGAAGCACTGGAATATATAGAAGAGACTCGATTATGTACTTCTTAAGGCTGGTACATTGTTAGGAGCACCATTAAACAATGAACAAAAATTAATTTAATAATGATAATAGTTTCGATACTTTGGTTGTTGAAACCATCGTTGGGCTATACTGTTTGCCCGGCAACAGGTTACGAATCTGAAGCAACGCTCTATTAATTCACCAGAATAGTACTGACTGGAGAGCAAAGTGCTATGTTGAATAACGTGTTGGCCTAAATCCCGGTTTTAAGTTAACCTACTATGATATTTAAGGCCTTGATTGTCTTCCCTCTTACTTTACGCTCTTTTCTATATAATATCCTTAGTGCGAATTGACAACAATGGCAAAGGGAGTTCTTAGAATACTAATCTATTCCTTGACGATAATTCCGAAATAATCAGAAAAGACAGTAACACTCTGATGACAATAAATTCACAGATACAAACTCTCACCCTATTTACTCTGGGTCACCCTCATTTATAACAAATTGCATGATGCGTACGTAAAATCTCTGCACTGTGACTCTCAACAGAAAACTTCAGCGCTTTATGAAATATTTCTGCATTAACTAGAAATTGCTAAAACTAGAGACAAATAGTTTCACACCCTTAAAATATCCCTCGAGTTACATTTCTCTCAGATAGGATACAATCTCCCATGCCAGCTGTGAAAACTGAGCTCTGGAACGTAAACAACACAACTCGAGAACCTCGTCGCCGACAGCCTCCGTGGTGTAGTGGTTAGAGCATCCGCCCGGACAGCGGAAGGTCGCTGGTTCGATCCCCGACCGCTTCATACCAAAAGACGTTCCCTGCCTGGTGTTCGGCATTAATGGGTACAACAAGGACTGGTCGGCTCGGAGTCAGTATAATGTGTCTGAGTGGGATATTCATGCTTCACTGCAGCATGGTCATTTAGCTAGCACTATAAAACCAGCTTCAGTCTGGGCTAGTACAAGCAGGCGCACATACACACGCATGCACGTCGTCATATGAGCAAAATAATCTCAAGCACGATGTTAACCACACTTTCACCTCACCTCAACTCGTTGCCAAGCAGATAACTCTATTACAGAAAATGGGTTAATAGGTAGTTACATGTCGCAACCCCACAAATATCCTAGAATAAACGACTCAGAGTGGGAAGCTGTCTATAAATGTAAGTCCATCTAGCGAGAACGATATGTATTTCTCTATGTCACTCGGGATGCAGTTTATATTGCCTTCCATTTTCGAGATGGCTTGTATGATAAGGTGAGAATCGTATCCACGAAGGTTGTGCAAAACCACGTGGATGGGTATGATTTTGGGATTGATTTTCAGTTTCAAGTTGCATGCGTTGTGTGCGGCGCCTCTGTAACGGCCGTTGATGTGACAGGGATCTATCACCGAATCACTGTTAAGCGGGTGTTTGCACACATGGGATTGAGTGGCGTTCTTATCAACTCGCCAGTCGCCACAGGTCATGCGCATGGGGATGGTTCTATAACAATTTTTCCTGATGATTATTTCTTCATGTTGCAAGTAAGTGAGAAACTTTTCAGCTGTGTCTGTACCTCGGTAGATCACGGGAGGATTCGTTTTCCTGTCGTATCAGACCACAACGTAACCGAAGCGGCAAGCCTCGTGGATTTGCATTTTGTAAGTGAAATATGTTGTCTGTTGTGTGCTCGACGTTTTTGATGATTGCCTCGAAGTCGGCGTAGATGACGTAGTGCATGGACATTTGTTTCCTTTTGTAATATAGGGAATGGTGATACGATATCAGGCCCGAAATAACGATATTTTTTGTGAACTGCCGCCCTGACAGACGAAAAAATGTGGGTGAATGATGGCGGCCCTTCATTCGACGTCCATAGTTTAAAAGTGTACAAGAAAAACAGTAAAATTGTCCGTGGGTGTCTACAACGCCCTAGGGAGAAAGATATAAAGAATATTGTGCAGCTTCCTTCCCTAGGGGATTGTGTCGACTGCATTGGACCTCTCACAAAGAGAGGGTCCCTCTCAGAAGTGAACCTGTGCAAGGTTCCTCCTGATATGCTATTGTTGCTGTAAGGGAGTGAAAGCAAAAGTTGCAAGACATCCACAGAGGCTTCACCAGCGCTGCTCTACAACATAAGACTGATCCCCAAATCACCTGTGACTTGAGCCACCGTGGATCCAAAAGCTGGATGTTTAATTATAGTCATCTATCCTAAGATTGCATCATTCAATGCTGACTCACGCTCATTATGAATCTGTATTGATATCGAGGAAACAGTTCATCGTTATTCTCGTATTATCGCTTTGGTTTTGGAAAGGAATGCTTGTCTGGCCTGTTCTATCAGATTATTTTCTCCTGTTCGCCGATGTCCCTCGTCTTGCGGGCCTTGGTTCGAATCTCTTTTTTCATTCTGTGGTATTTGGCGAGTTCTGCTAACACCAAATGGTACTCCGTGATCTTGCTGTCGGTGAGCACTGTGTTGATATGTGATCATCGATCGTGTTCAACTTGGCTTCGGCTAAAACCCCAATCTCGTTGTGCTTCAACGCTTGACATTGCAGCCAGCGTGAAATGAATTTAAGAGCTATTCCCGTCAGCCCAGATACACTGGCTGCTATTTACAACCCGAGAACTACAGAGGCGACGACAATGGTCGATAATAAGCCGACCCAAACTGCCCTGAGTCCCATGCTGGCTGTCACGAATGTAGTGTCTATCCCGTCGACAATATTCACGGCTCCCTGGTACTTTTTGCGCAGTTCTTGTCGTACATCACGTTCAATTTCCAGTTGGTGTTTGATGTCACTTATTTGTCGCAAACGAAAGCTATCCATGGATTCTTGTGTTTTGACCACTTCTTACATGGCCGGATACAATCCCAATCTTATATAATATAAGTTAGAAAATAATATTTAATTGGTTTTCAGTTAATCTTTGATTGATGTACCTAAGGCTGATAACCATTTTCGTATAGATTAAGAGGATGCCATTCGTTTATTTTAACAAGAACCCCATCGAAACTTGTAAAGGGGATTGATCCTTGTGGTATATGAATACGGCAACGTTGATGTTCATGTTCATTACACTAGCGTATTGTTAACCTGTTCAAAAGTACCAGAACTTCCTCGGGTGGAAAAACTTCTTTCATGAGTGTGGTGTTTAATTTTAGGGGTAGGAAAAAATATATTTGGTAATCAGGTGTGGCAGATGTAAAAAATGCAGTAAGCTCGGTTGGTACCATATTGCCGGTATGACCCAGTATTCGCAAAACTTGTATCGCATTATGAAATTTCGGTGTAAAGAACGTGAGAATAATTCTGTTACTTCGGAGACATAATCATTGTTTAAGACTATATTGGGTGAGACGAGGGTGATATCGATTACCCAGTCGATTTTGGGTGATTCCATCAACATTCATTTGTCGTTTTTGGTGTCTGAGATGGTACAAGGTGTTTTTAGAAAGTCCCTGAGTCTCTTTTCAATCTGCTAGTTTCACTTCTCGTAGCACGTACACGTTGTTTTGCAAGTGAAGTGCGTATAAGGTATTTTCCTTCCTGGGGTGATTGATTTCACGACTGTCCCCAAGATCAGAGAGTGCTAGTGGTGTCACTATTCACGTTTGACCGGTACTCGGTGTGATGTGATTTACGTTAATATCAGGATTCACCCCTAGATTCTGATCACTAGTCGCGATGACGATTTAATTATCGTATCCTACCATTTTATTATTCCCCAGTTGCGTGCCGGATGTTCAATCCTACGCCGAAAACGTAGTCGACTTTAGATCTGGTACTTTGGAACACAAATTGGTATCAATTGATGGCCGTCGGTAAATGTACCGGAGACACTATCACATCATCGATGATTGATATATAAATTGTTTTTGCGCTTCGTAAGCTGTGATGATATAAAACGTTTGCGCTTGCCCACCGAGAATAGTCCACACGTACGTTCAATCGTTCAATCTGACGACACCTTTTCAACGTATCCAGCATCAATTTTCTTCCAGTCCCTGCCGAAACTTCCAAACACAGTAATTCTTGCTATTATCAAAAGCCATGAGATCATCACTCGTGACGTAAGATTTCGCGTACGCCTCGCAGCCCGATTTTTTCTGCAGTTTGCTGGCTTCCACGAGAGGCATATTGTGAATGGTGGGGATGACCAAACCGTGAACCATGCCTGGCAGACGCCAACAAATACGTTCCTACGAACGTCAATCGTACAGATTGTTCATCGCATTCCATGTGTTGTTTTACAGAAGGGTTGTGCTGATTTCTAGCTCAGTACCAAACCTGTTTTTTTATATGTTTCGGGCCTGGCCTCATCTTGATCACATTGGCTAAAAATAAATCGCTGATTCTTTTAAGTGCGGGTCAGGTTAAGGCCAAGGTTGTCAATGGCGAACGGGCATGACACAATTCTGTTTGCGATGAATCAATGTACGTAAACTCATTATGACAGGGAGATGTAAGTGTCTCCGAAATAATGGCGACTGGCGCGCTGACAGGTGCCATCAGTTCAACATGTTTTGGTGCATGTCGTTTGTGTTTACTGTGAAATAAACAAGAAAATGGGTGAGTTAACACGACAAAATCTGAGCAGGGATTTTGGCTCGGAATCGAGCAATCACGATTTTTCGAGCTTCCGAAGACCCTAGCTCCCAAAGTACTGCTTCGATTTTGGTACTGTATGATTTTGTAGTAAATCTATTAGCGTGAAAAGTGTGCATACTTTACATTGGATAAATACAGTGAGTATTGTTGAATTCGCACTGAAACGAACTGAATATTGACCTCGTTACATCCCTTTCCTTTTATATAGTACTAAGACCCCGTCAGTGACAGTATATACCTTGATGGCAGCTTTTAGCGTTACAAGCCCCAGTGTTTCTACACACCATTTTAATCATAGAATATTTGTTGTTTTATTACGGCTAAATATCAGTACAATTGCCAGTGGCTGAAGGGATGGTATAAATCCAGCTAAGGTCCATGCAGGTAGCCAAAGCATTGTAAGTCCCCATGGTCCCTAGAGTGGTGATATACCTTCAGTTTTTGGCTATCCTCAGCCTTATTTTATATTGTATTGTCCTAATTTGAAATCCCTTTTTAGAGCTATACACTAGTTTTATTTCCTATTGCTGTGATATAGTAGTTGGTTTTACTGTCCTTCGTCGACAGGATTTTAATCTTTGCGCATTTGTCATGAATTTCTTACTGTCTTAAGTCACGATATGGCTGAATTACTGCCGCTGTGAATATAAACTTTAACTCACTCACTCACTCACTATAACAATATGTCCCGTTAAATAATCCTCTTGAATATGTTTTTACAAACCCGAGTACAAAGTACAACATTATTTCCATACCACACCCGATAGGTGCTGAAATTGATGGTCCTGCTGTATTCATCATGCAATGGCCTGACTGCAGTTTGAGCAGTGTAAGCAGTTCATGTTGGAATATCCGAGTGATATAAGAGATAAATGACGTCACTCAACTCTCCGCATATTTCAGCGTGTGCGTCTGGTCGTTATGGAGACAGCTGTATCAAGTACTGCAACTCCCGTCACTGTCACAACACAGGGGACTCCTGTCCTCCTGACACAGGGGAGTGTTCTAATGCAGGCTGCCAACCAGGATGGGCAGGACCAGACTGTACAGGTATATACAGGATTGTACGTTGATGTGCAATGTCAATTTATACCAGTTTGTAAGTCACGTTTTTGTTATTAGTCGATATCTGTAACATAATCATATTACTGTCTATAACAGTACCAAGCTGTGTGCGATGACAACAGGGTTTTCAGATTGAAGAATGACATGGTGTGATAAAGAGGTTATCCCACTGGTGTGTTTTGATCGATTATGCCTATACAATTTGGTCATTGTATCATAACATGTTTACTACTACTATGATGTACCCTCCTTTGTGGTTTGTAATCCCCAACCGCGCGTTTAGCGCGAAGCAGGGAACATAGTATTAGGCTCTGTCCATCCGTCCGTCCATACATACGAATTATAATATCTTAAGAACCGTTGACTAGATTCTTTTCATAGTTGATACCTAGGTTTATCAAAGTTAACCAAAGGTCCCAGTCAGGTTTGGTGACATTGATCTTCATTTCAAGGTCACAGGCGGATTTTCACGTTTTACCTTTGTCAACGTGATATCTCAAGAACCGTTAACTGGGTTTACTTCATATTGTACACCAAGCTTTCCCGGAGGGAGACGCAGGGCCAAGTCGATTTTGGTGACCTTCACTTAATTGTCAAGGTCACAGCAGCACTTTGACGAGTTCATCATGTCAACCTGCATGTCAAGCTCTCAGCAAGATATCTCAAGAACCATTCACTGGATTTTCTTCATATTTAAAACCAAGCTTTATCTGGGAAAGGCGCAGGGCCCAGTTGATTTTGGTGACCTTCACATAGTTTTCAAGGAGATATATATTTCAATATTTCAGCATGTAAATCTGCAAGTTGATCTTTTCAGCGAGATATCTCAGTAACCAATCACTGGAGGTTCTTCATATTTGACACCAAGCTTTGTCTTGGGAAGACGCAGGGCTCAGTCAATGTTGGTGACCTTCAGGTGTTTTCCAAAGTCACAGTAACACTTGAAGATGTCAGCATGTTAACCTACATGTTCACCTTGTCAGCAAGACATCTTACAACGATTCATTGTATTTTCTTCATATTTTACACAAAGCATCATCTTGGGTGCAGGTTGACTGATCATGCTTTTGTTGACATTTAACTTCATCTTAAACTACAACCTTCTCTTTCATTACTTTTAAGTTTGATTTAATAATTTGATGCGGGGGGATTATGTCACCTGAGTGACAATGCTTGTAAAATTCGAAAGATCACAAGAATTAGCATCCAATCAGTTGCATGTAGTACATCCTGGCTTTTATCTTTCTGGAAATACGAACTCTGGGTAGATTAGACATAGATGTTACTTTATATAATTATTGTTTGAGGCATGATGGGTTTTAATACGCTTCCGCCAGTTGAAACCAACCGTGTAGTGACGGTTACTGCAAGTATAACTTCAAATGTGATAGAATACAATGGAGTCGTGCCGGTGGATGTGCGGCTGATTACCACGGACAATTTTGTACACAAATTAATTTTGTACACAAATCAATTTAATTCGCATACTATTTTTAGTGTTTATATAATGGAATCAGGGACTTCTGGTCGTTGTTTGCTGTCACCGTTGTCTCTAGTTTCACCAGGCAATGGCGCCAAACATGCATAGTTTTGTTTTATGAATTTCGGCTCCATTATTATAGATATCAGAATTCAAATAGTAAGATGAAAACACCACTTTTAGCAATATTCTAGCAACATCAAGGCGGGGGGACACCAGAAATGGGCTTCATAGACTGTCTGGGTCACATGACATCCATGATGTTGGTACGGATACTCAAGTCTGGAAATAGATCACAGATGCATTGAATACTCTGTCTGAAACAGATTGCGGTTCTTCTGCTTCCATTGGTCCGACTAGGCTTTTGAAAATTGGCTCCATGAAATTGCAAATGAATTTTCATGTCAACAAATACAGTAACATATTGTTCAGGACACTAAATAGGATTACATTTTGGGCATT